ACTCAAGTATATCAAATAACGAAAGGCTGCTCCAAAGCCAGATTTCATGGCTTGAAATGATCTAGCACATGAAGAGTGCCAACTCCTGAAACATCGTTCGCAACGAACGAGATGTGGCAATAGCGAACAAAACAATGCCAGATGCATCTGGCATTAAAGATGCTCAAATGCCATAGAGCGTGGCGGACATAAACAGCCAATTAGGCAACTATCAACAACGGGACGGTGCAATGCCCCGTGCAATCTAATCGTCGATGAGTCATTCGTTATTATATTAATTATGCATACAAAATCTTTCATTCATATATAATGTCCGTTGATTCCCACTATAAATTGATTTCCCTGTATCGGTTTTACGCAACTGATCATGCTACATAGTAGCTGATCAAGGTAAGCAGTTTAAGTGAACACTGTAAGCACTGGAGAAAACGCACGATCATTTTGATCTTCAAATCTGGAAGCAATGCTTATTGCAAAAGCAATCGAGGAATCGCCCTGGTGGCGGTGATGAAGAGGTTATTCGCGCGGAATATCCTTGCAAGGTTAAAGGAGACCATAGATTATTCATTGGGAACAATCAAACGGGCTTCTAAAGTGGACACTTGTGCACGTACATTGTGCTGAAAAGAACAATCGAGCAGTGCAAACACTTTCAACTGTTGTGGCAGGCGGCGACGTTACAAGACTTCTATGCAGACTTCGACTCATTTCATCGAATGCGCATCACTTGACACTATGAAATCCTAAAGGTGATGGTAAACCTGATTATAGGACTGTACTAAGGGAAGAAATGTTCTGTATGAACAAACAGATCATTGTCCCAATGGTTCAATGTCATCAGTGGAGCTAAATGTCCTGAAGGTCACTCCCTGTGTGAGGGAAAGCGAAGATCTCTCTTCCTTATTGTATAACGTCAAGACGGACTTGGACCATTTTATGCTGAAATGCCAAATTACAACGAGAGAGTGACCGTTAACCAGCGACACAGCTCGAAATATCTGACTATATTCCTAATGTACCTTCAAATACGCCGATGGCACCTCGTTCCTAAGCCACTTTGTGAGTGCCAACTGAAGCTCGCTGAAAGGCTGTGAAACACTGCTCTGGGAATTTAGCTAAGAGTCAACCCCAAGAATACTAAAGGATGGTATTGCGATGGACAAGATGAATCATTTCAAACACTTTTGAACTCTGTTGGCTAACGATGGCTGCACTGACCTTTAGTGAACCGGTGCACTTCATTGGCATCACTGGCATTGGCATCAGGTAACTTGAGCATGCTTGATTACATACAACAGTCGAACAATATGAAATATTAACGGACACAAAGATCATAATTCTGAGTTAGCCGTTTTCTCAGTGCTTATGTACTATTTCGAAACATTTGATGTCCTGAAACATCATGAGTCTCGCTTAGGAAACGTTCAACAAGTAGTATCCTCAACGCGCAACCATACCACCGGCTCCCCAACGAGCACTTTCTGACATTAACCGGTCTGAGAAAACTATCAAATGAATTTAGAGACCGAAGCTTTGCATGGTTGATAAAAAAAGCCCAAAAGGAGGATAGAAATATATACAAAACTTTCTCGCTTGGGAACCGCGCATTGGTCGCTGTAGCGCTGGAGGACAGCAAAAAAGTAAAAAACTTCGATGAGGCGGATTTACTGGTGTAGAGGAATATGGCCTTCGCCACAGCAGTAAACTTTGCCTAATATCAATCTGAAGTACCCTTTCTAACGGTCAGACCTCATACATCTGAGTCACTCTGCTGGTTGGACTCTGCCAATCTCAGTTGATGATGAAACAAGAGCAACAAACGATTGCCAAATTTCGAATTTTACCAGTTTATAACGACATAAACCTTATATATCAGAACTATATTAAAGATCTACTATCTGAACGGTAGAGTAGCATATACCATTAAACAACTGCTTACCTGTATAGATTAGTTCAAAACGTAGCATTGATGCTTTAGTGAAGAGCATACATGGGCAATGAAAATCAATAATCTTTTATCCTTAACAACTCATTATTCTCCAGGCATACATGTGGTGCATATATAATGGGTTCCTCCGCATGCATACATTTTTACATGATGTCGATGTTTTAGATGGCGCTAGATTTATCATTCGGAGTCATAGCATAAAAGCAGTTATAAAAGAATAGCAACTTTTCGTTTTAGTTTATCTGTACGCCTTACATATAAGATTATGTATTTCGATAAGTTAAGCTCGAAACAGTACATCTAATGCCCTTTAACTAAAGTAATATCTCAATTTTTCCATGAGCCTGAATTGTACCGCTGATATAAATTAATGACAGTTCAATACTCACCTACGTCTCATTACGTCGTTACATTATTAATAGTTCTTTAACGCCATCATTATTACATTCAGTATGTGACTCTATTATAAGTTTATTATCTGAAGATTGAGTATCTTGCCTGTTCACTGATCATACCAGAAACAAAATAAAATACGGCTTATTTATACATAACATGAAACAATATACTTCATAACAAAACAGCGGCTTTTTGTTTTCAACGTACCAGCCGCTGATAAGGACAGAAGGAAGAAGAGCATCTGAAATCGGTTAACCAATCTTTACGCTCGTAAATGTGCCCCGACCTCTTGACTAACGTCCAAAGAACTATGATCCTTTGATTCTTAGAAGCCGTTCACAAGTCTGGGTGTTTTGAACTATCGCCTGCACCTTGAACGGAATCGATCAACATCCAACACTCATGGCCATAAACGAAGGCAAGCATAAGTAGAACTGTAGCATTTTTTTCGCGGTACTTCTCAACTTTTCCATCACCATGTCACCGATAATATGCGACACCAATATTCTTGTGGATCAGTGAAGTGAATAAAACTGAATAACTGAGTAAATAATTTAATAACGAAGTAAGTGAGGCTAACTCCGCCATGGCCGGTCCCAAGCCCGGATGAGAAAGGAGGAGGGTTGGAGACCGTGCCAAGTCTCCGCAAAATTCAGCCACCTGCCACTCATGGTATAGACGCCTTAGAAAATTATACCGGCTCGGTCGTCGCCCGGGTTACCAAGGGCCGCGCAGGCTGTTGGGGGA